GGTTCTCTTTCTAGGTCTGTTGGGTGAAAGACACATAGGCAGTTGATGGTATAGCAAAGGAGACAGACATAAACATGGATCGTACTGGTCCAGTGTGATGAGTTCCAGTACTCTGGGAACTGGAAGGAGAGTGCTCATTTATGGCTAGAGAGGGTATAGGAAGGGTGAAATTAAAGAGGCTTTATTGGTAAGGAAGTCCTGCTGCACCTTGAAGTACATGTGGTATGGTGTAAGGACATTCCAGAATAAGGGAATTCCATGAGCATGGACCTAGAGATAGGAAAACAGAGGGCAGGCATGGGCAACAGTCATTCTGTTTGTCTGGAGCATAGGCAGAATGAGAGTCCCGGGAAGAAAAGACAGGTAGGTGCCATTCATTCATTCATTTAAAAACATCAAATAATGCTAGCCAACATTTATTAAGTATTTACCACGTGCCAAGAACTGTTCTAAACACTTTACATGTATAAACTCATCTAATCCTCATGGGGTACAGATGGTATTATTAGTATTTCCATTTTATACATGTAGAAATTGAGGCATAAAAATATATAATAACTGGTCCAAAGTCACACAGCTAATAGATTTGAACTGCAGAGTCTGTTTCTACATCCATGCTCATACCACTAGATCTGTATACTACCTCTGTGAACTAATGATCTAGACTTCTGGACCTTTTGCTCAGTCCTCTCACTTGCTCCAGGCTTCAATTATAGACCTCTCAGTACTCTCAGTTCTCTGAGTGTCCATTTATGCTGGGCTTTTGCAGCAAAGAAATATGAGGCATCCACCATGACTCCACCAGTCAGTCCTTCAATGTCATAGCCAACCCATCACGAAATCTTGCAAATGTTCTCTACAATCGCTCTCTAATGTCTTTTCTCCACTGCCACTTCTTTAAGCCATGTCAATGTGATTTCTTCCTAATTTTCCTGCTTCTCTCTTGCTTCCTTCTAATCCCTTATCCATATTGACCACTAGAGGGATTTTTCTAAAAATCTGACCATATAGCTCTCTTGCCTAAACCTCTTCATTTTTCCCTATTGTCTAGACTAGAGCAGTGGTCTCCAAGGTGAGGTATGCAAGATGATCCATAGGGTAAGGGGATTTATTAGAATTTTATGTTTACTTTTTATATTAAAAAATAGGAAATTAAGCGTGACTGATATTGATCTCTAATATATAGAGTGACAATAATATACGTATATAGTATATAAAAATACATACATTGGAGGTACATACTACAACTTTTGTACTAATAGGATGTATAAGCCCCCAAATTGGAGACAACTGGCCTGGAGAACAGTCAAAGCTCCTTGGCATGGCATTCAGTGCCTTCAACATGGTGAACTCTATGCCCTCACTTCTTGCCCACATTCATTTTATTTCTCCAGCTACACTGAATGATTTATAGTTCCCTCATTTTGCTCTAGCCTCTTACCTCTGGGATTTTGCTAATGATGCTCCTTTCTGATTGGAATGCCCTCCCTCACCCCTTACTCTGGCTTACTTCTTTTCATCTTCTAGACTTAATCAGGCATCCTTTCATTCATTCTTTCGACACATATTTATTGAGTACCTACTGTGTGCTAGATACTGTTCTAGGTGCTGGGGATCCAGTAGTAAACAAAACAGACACAAATTCCCTATTCTTCTGGAACTTACATTCTAGTGGAAGGAGATAGTCAAAAAACACTTTAAAAAGTAAGTGCAAATTAAATAGCATGGTAGTTCTAAGCACTATGGAAAAAAATAGAGCAGAAAAAAACATGCTGGTTGGGGGGATACATGGGCTAGCTTGGAGGAGGGTTGTAGCATTAAATGGAGTGTTATGGGTAGAGACAACCAAAGTGACACTTGAGCAAAGATATGAAGGAGGTGAAGGAGTTAGCTGGGCAGAAATCTAAGAGAAGGGCATCCCAGGCAGAGAGAACAGCCTAAGACAAGGAAGACCCTAACACAGCAGTATTCCTTCTGTATTTGAAGAACAGTAAGTAGATGAGTGTGGATGGAGTGGTGTGAGCAAGAGGGAAAGAGACAGAAAACTGAGGAGGGGCAATGTGGGCTAGACTGTGTAGGGTATTATAGGCCACTGGAAGGGTTATGGCTTTAACTCTGAAATGGAGAGCCTTCTGAAGGATTTAAGCAGAGGAGTAACATATCTGATTCAGGTTTTAAAAGAATTTCTCTGACTTCTATGTTGAGAATAGACTGAAAGACTGGGAGCAGGGACATCCATTAGGGGGCTACTGTAATATTCCGGGTTAAGAAATTATGGTGGCTCAGACCTGAAAATAGCACTGTAGGTGATGAGAAGTGGTCAGATTTTGAAGGTAGAGCCAATGGTATTTGCTGATAGACTGGATGTATGGTAGGAAGAAAGAGAAAAATAAAGGATGGCTCAAACATTTTTGTACTGAGCAACTGGAATTGCCATCAACTGAGATGGGTAAGGCTGAAAGTAGGGTAGACTTGGTGGAGAGTAGGGAGATCAGTAGCTCAGTTGTGCTCATGTTAAGTTACAGATGCCTACTAGATATCCAGGTGGAGATATAGAAAGGCAATTGGATACACAAGTCTAGAATTCAGGATACAGCTTTGGGCTAGAGATGAAAATTTCACAATCATCAGCATGTGATGGCATTTAAAGCCATAAAACTAGATGAGATCACACAGGGAGTAGGCATGAAAAAAAGCCAGGGACAGAGACACAACTGAGGTACTTCTGACAGCAAGGTCAGGTTCTGTCCTCTGGGCTCCCACTCCCTCTAGGAAAAACCCCTGCCCCAGGCTCCCAGGTCACAATACTGACGGCACTGTGTGGGTAGTGTCAGTGTCACCTTCCTCACCAGGCTAGGAGTTTCCAACTAGATGGATTCACTTCTTGAGCCACAGCATGTCCTGTACTTAGGGCTTGGTTCAGGCCAGGTCAGTATAGCTTCAAATTATGTCACATGAGTGCTTCTCAAACTTTTATACATCACAGCACCCATACACAAATGCTAACATTCATAGCACACGGTGGAGCAAACTGAGGAGGATACCTCTGGTTCCGAGACATCTCAAAGGGTTGGGGGGATCAATATCTTGGCACATCTGTAATGTGACACAGGGATTAAGACCTACTCTAACCAATTATTTCCCTCCCCTCCCCTCACTACCTTCAGAGAAGCTGCTGGCAGCCTGGACTGAGGTGGGGCTGCCCCTCCAGGATGTATCTATAGCTGCCTGCAACTTCTGTCGTCGTCCTGTGCACTTCGAGCTCATGAGTGAGTGGGAACGTTCCTACTTTGGGAACATGGGGCCCCAGTATGTCACCACCTATGCCTGAGAAACAAGCTGCCTTGGATCCCCACCACACCTGCACCTCTCTTGGGGCTGGGCCGCCTCCTGTCCTCTGCTTTGTTGTGTGCCTCTAGCTGACTTGAGCCTGAAAATAAAGAGCAAAGTGTAGCATTTGTAGCCCTTTGTTTGACAGAGAACAGACAACTACATTATACCTGACCCCCTCAGACAAGTGGCAGAGCCATGAGGAAACCACTGATCACCTGTTGGTCATTTTACTGATAGGGAAACAGATCCAGAAAGAGCAAGAGGCCAAAAACTACACAGTGAGTTAAACAAAGAGCCAGGACATTTGGCAGGTTTATATCAAATGGCTCTTTCCCCATGGTTTCAACAAGAATCCAGGGATTGACTCTTCATGCGTAGGCCCAGAAACTCAGGCCCCAGGTAGCCTCTGAAGCCAGGAGGTGGAATCAGCCCAAACCAATCTGCCTGGAGAAAAAGACTGGTTCCCCAAAACTTTGGAGATATTTTCCAACAGAGAGAATGGATGTCCTCCTCAATCCACTATCCTCTTTGCTTCTCACAGCACCTTATAAAACAAGACTTATCAGTTCTGTTTCCCAAGGTGAGAAAGAGGCTTGGCTATAGCAAGCAACTTGTTCAAGGCAATGCTCCCAAACTTTCTAGGTCATAACACACTGGAAACATTTGCATGGCATGCTTGGGTGAATTAATGGTATTACTTGTCTAGGAGGCAATCTTTCCTGAAACTTGTGCAATTCCTGGTCCTGCCTGGCAACTCTAGGGTTGAGGGACCCATTTCTTTCTACCCTGTAACCCATTTGTGGCAGCTGTGAGACACATCAGTTGAGAAACAGTGGTTTAAAGCTACACAGCCCACTTGAGCTTTCTGCCCCACCACACCCACCTCCCTTGCTGATCCAACCTCAGCAGTGCAGGGAACCCCAACAACTCAACAGAGCACTTTAATGGTAAGCACCAATCCTCCTTCCTCCCCTCTCCCTGGAAGTTATATCATCAGGTTACAGGCAGTTGGCAAACCCGGGACTGAGATAACGTCTCTGACTCAGCTTTATGGAGCACATCCAAAATGTCCACATGACATGGTGCACTACAACAAAGACACGTACTTTATTTAGGCACAGATACATTTCCCAGGAAGGAAGGAAGGGGTTTAAAATCACAACTTCCTGGGGCAACTGGTTCCTCTGTAATTCTGAGAGGAAGGTGGGAAGTGGGGTGGGGGACTGGGTCACAGCATTAAGACAAAAGAAGCTCACCAGTGAGGGGGAGCTAGGCAGGAAGAAGAGAGAGGAAGGGAGGCCTTGGAGGAAGAAGAAAAAGAGGAAAGGGAAGGGTCCCTGAGGAAGGTGGAGGAGGAAGAGGAGGTGGGAAGGAGGTCTTGAGGAAGTAGCTTAGGAGGAAGCTGGCCTCAGACCACGTACAAGGTTAACCATGCCAGACATCCCTAGGCCTGGGTTGGTTCAGCTGGGCCTGCTCCAGAGGAAGAAGCTGCAGCGGGAGGAAGGGTCAGTGGGAGGACCCTGGGGCCTGGCACACATGTAGAAGTGGCGGCCCAGGTTGGGTCCTGGCTTCTTCACAGTTCGCATTACACACGGCTCCCTGTGGCCCCCACACAGGGGCATGGGCAAGGGCCCCCCCAGCAGAGACTTCCAGAATGAGGTCCGTACCTCCTTTTCATCCTTGGCCTCTGAAGCCTTGGCCCGCCCCTCCACCACATTGGCCATCACATCCTCTTCTGAGGTCTTTGAGGTCATGAGGGTGCCCAGGCTAGGAAGCTCCAAGTTAGAAGAAGCTTGGGGACGACTGGAGGATGGCTGGAAGTAGCTCATCAGGTTTTTTTGGCCTCTACTGGAACCAGCTTGACTTGGCCGAGACCTGGTCGAGCGCACACGGGCTTTGTTTTGGCGCATCTGTACCGGTGTTTGATTGCTGAGCTGCAGCGCTGACTGCCTGAACACAGGATCTTGTTCGAGACGAACTAGGAATCTAAGGATCTTGAGCTGGGTGCCTGCAAACTCAGGGAGGAAGCGGGTGCACAGAGGTGGGCACTGTTTTGCCGGCACAGAAGACACGCTTAAGACTGCACCCACGGGGCAGTGGTCAGAGCCCATCACCTCAGGCAGCAAGAAGGAGGCCTGAAAGGTGTCCATGACCAGGGTCCTGTCTCCCAGCACATAGTCAAGCCGAGAGCCATAGTTCAGATGGCGGGCGCCACTGACTGTGGACCAGCAGGTGAAGGCCCCCTTCTGCTTTGGATGGAAGCATCGGTAGCTATCAATGAAGGGTCCCGTATGGGAACCAGCCTGGCACCCCAGGTTACTGAGGAAGTGGTCCATCCACTTGCGACCTGGGTCCTCTTGAAAGCATTCCTGGGGAAAGAGAAGGGGGACAAAGAAAGAGGTAGAACTAGACGCCTAGAACTGGAAGGGGCTTAGATTAACTGCTTTATTTTACAGACAAGAAAATGTGGTTGTTTCAAAGAAGAATGCTTAAGGTCATACAGTCCAGAACTGGCAGAGCTGGGATTCACTTTCCACCCTTACTGATTTAAAAGGCCATGATTCTTTTTCCCCTCTGCATCAGGCTACCTCTACCTTGCACTGGGCCATAAATCCAAGATCTGAAAGCTTGCTGTTAGTTAATCAAAGCAATTCTCAGAACTGCTCACCAAGAGAATGGAAAACAGCAAGTTAAAAGTGGTTACCTCCAGGAAGTAGGGCTGAGGTTAGGAGTTAAGAAGCCTGTTGCCTTTTCATGTAAACCCTCTGGTACTATTTGGCTTATCTTGTTGTGTGTGTCAAAGCCTTCACTGACCACACCCCCTTCCTGAGCTGAGGGGCTCCAGGGTTTCAGGTCTGAATACTTCCTTTGGCTCTGATCCCTAATTCATCATCCATCCAATCCACTCACCCACTCATTCAGTGCAACAAATGTTCAAAGAACACTGATTATGTGCCAGGCACGATACTAGAGACAAAGTGGGACCATGATCTTGTCTTGGGGACCAACAAGGCTTCCTTTCAGGAAGTGATCTGGAGCTGAGATCCAGATCCAGATCTGAAGGCTGAGCAAGAGTAACCCAGGCAGAGGGTGTTACAAATTGAGAGAACAACTTCTGTGATAGGCCTGTGAAGGGAGGGGACAGTATACCCAAAAGACTTGAGGGGCAACCAGACTGACTATCAAGAGGTGATGGTCACTTAGACTAGGGTGGTGCCAGAGGAGACAAAATGAAATTAAGAGATGATTTGGAGCTAGAATCAACAGTACTCACTGACCAATTGAATGGGAAAGGGGGGTAGAGAAGAAGAACACTAACACAATTCCCTGGCTTCTGGTTGGAGCAACCAAGAGGACGATGGTACTATTTAGGGAGATGAGACTAGAAGAGCTGGTCTTGTGGGAAGTAGACATACTCTGTTATTTTGGAAAGATTGTGTTTCTCATGTGATCTGGTACTATTAGTTCTCTTTCCTTGGGAAAAAAAGAATATAGGAAGTGCACTCGAGATATCTAAGATATTTCTAAACTAAGAAGAGAAGGCATAAAAGTATATAACACTATCACAGGAAGCAGCAAAAACAGACTAAGTAAACACCGATAAGGAATAAGGTAGGGAGGATTGAAGGCTTGCAGTTTGTAGTGTACACTCCCTTCCCCCCCCCCCACCACCACCAGTCTCTCATTATCTCATTTCTGCTCATTTTCCCAGCTGAGAGACACATTTATGTTCCTGTGGCTCTTCTGCAAACTAATCAAGGAATTTTCCTACAGCCTCTTCTTTGAGCCAAGCCTACTGCTGAGTTGGACTGTGCCAGCATAAGTTACTTATCCCTCCCCTTATGAGGCAAGCTATGATGAGAACTGACTTGGAGATTCTAGGGCAGTGGTCCTCAAGCCTGAATATACAATAAAATCAGCCTGGGAACTTTCAAAACATACTGCTACCCTGGCTCCACACCCAATAGATTCTGATTTAATTGGTCTAGGGTTGCACCAAGGTATTGACATTTTTGTAAAAGCTCCTTGTACTAATGTACTTTCAAGGGTTGAGGACCATTGGCATAGAAGGACTCAGAGATGAGAGGTTCACACAAGAAAAGAAGACAGAGGGAGCGGATGCCTACCAATTCAGAGGACAGTGAGAAAAGCCAAAATGAGAATAACTTTTGCAATGGGCAGAGAGGAGACAACCTGGCTGGAGTGGATGGAGTGTGTAGCGGTGCGGAGGATGGAAACGGAGACTGGGTGCAGACAAGAAAGAGTTTTGAATGCCAGGCCTGTGTGTTTTCTCTGCATCACAAAGGTAACAGAGAGGTGTTGAAGGTTCATGAGCAGGAAACATAGTATATTAGGGAAATGATCAAGGCAATGTGGAGTTCCAGGCTCTTGAAATCTGACTGAAACTCTCCAGCCCCATCTCCTGCTACTCACCTTCCTTCTCTGTCACCCCTAACAAGAATGGGACTTGTAGTTCTCAATGCACACCAGCCAAATTCTCACCTTGCATCCTTTGCTCATCATGCTAGAATTCTTTGCTTCCCACCCCAAAGCTCTGTTCTACTCATCTTTTAAGATTCAGCCATTTTAAGATATCTCCCCTGACGTCCTGGCTGGCCCGACTCCTATTTCCAGGCTCTCCTAACCTCCTGGGCTGCTGTCTCTGCCTCAGCCCTGAAGACACCATTCTATAATTGACTGGTCATGTGTCCATACCCCACCACCATGCTGAGAGCTCTGAGGGGCCGAGCCAGCACTGACTACTAACTGAGTCCACAGCACAATCCTCAGTGCTTTGAGAATAGAATTTCAAACTAAGCTCTGCTTTTCCGTGAAGGAAGCTTGCCCCTGAACCAAAAAAAAAAAGCATTGATTGGCTGGCTAAACAGAACCATAGTCAGGAGTGAGGTCAAAGGCCTAGAGGGAGCCTTACCAGGTTGACTGCATCCCAGTGGTCAATGGGGCGGTGAGCTGTATTCAGGTCCCCCAGAATGATAACATGGCTGAAAAACATAAAATGAATGTTCAGAAAGGGAAGCAGTAGTCCTGGCCCATCTACTTTCTCCTGGGCCCAAGATCTCAGATAGACCACCTGCCACACAGAGGTCAAGGTAGGGTCCAACGGCAAGTCATAATAGCCTGCCTCTCCAATTTCAGTATAACCTTGATGCCTTTTACAACTGACCAACACAATTATGATCTCCAAAGGTAACCCTGTTCCCTGTTTGACATGATTGTCTCACTTATCTCTACCTAATGGCATCTTTCTGGTCCTTTAAAGAGGAGCTCAGGTACCACTCCCTCTAGGAAGCATCCCTCAATTATGTCAACCTACCCTCACTTTCCTGTCCCTCCCTGGGATAAGACTTTTCATTTGTTCCCAAGTACGTTACCTTCCTCATCTCATTTCATCCTTAAAACTATACTCTGAGGTAGGGATTCATACACTTATTTTACAAAAGAGAAAATAGGGGCAACACTAGCCTTCGGGCTCACAGTGAGTAAAAGAGGAGCTGGGATAGGTGCTCAGAGGTATCTGAGTACAAAACCCATATTTGTATCACTTTACCTGGTCCCCACAGCTCTTAGACAGCAGGGTCTATTCTGGTGGGCCTGCTGGTGTCTACAACTAGGCTGTAAATGAACTCAAAAGACAAAGATCCCATATCCCTCTCAATGGACCTTGACACGGGGCTGGGCACCCGGGACAAGCTCAAGGAAGCCTTGCTGCCCAGGTTTGCAGTACCTGCCAGCTGCCAGGAGGGCTTCTGCTCGGATCTGCAGCAAGCGATAGAAGCGCATCTTAAAGGCGAGCCGCTCAGGCTTCCCAGGGTCCGCATGGGGGCAGTACACGTTGATTAGGGTCAAGGTCTTCTCCTTCCCTTCCCATGTGCTGGGGAGAATAGAACCGGCCCCCGCAAAAGGGGTCACTTTCAAGCCACCCTTCCCCTCCCCACACCATGTGGCTCCCACTTAATGATTGTCTGTGGGATGGAAGTGAAGGAAAGGGATAGAGAGACATGAACAAGCTGGCATACACAGGACTTGAGGACTGACTACATCTAGGATGACACTCAGGTAAACCAGGTGATGGTCCTGCCATTCACAAAGACAGGACACAGAAAGAGAGCAACCTGGGGCAGTAAAGTTGGCTAACTTGCTTCTGAGGCACCTGTGGTAAAAAAGAGAGCTAGTCCTCCTGGCCAGGCTCCCTCTCCCCCCGCCCCCGCCCCTGTAGAAATAGAGAACTCAAGGCTCAGAAGAGAATATGATTTGTTCAGGGTCACATAGCAGGTTGCCTTGCCAGGACTGAAGTCCAGGAAAGGCAAGTTTGGGAAGTTTTCTATGGTGAATGTATGTTTATAAGGCAAGCCTTAGAATCACCACATTCACAGAGTTGAACCAGCAATGCTCGGTGACAGGCGGATGTGGGTTATTACCAGATCTTGTGTTGTGTGAGGAGGGCCCGGCCCTCACTATCCAGAGCTCGAAGCTCCTCTTGAGTGAAGTCATCCATGTTTCCGTAGCAACCCACGTCCCCATTCTGAGTGGCAAGTAGGCCACTCAGGCCTTCTTCAGCAGCCACTGGGGTAGCACTGTCCTTACAGAAGGTGGCTACACCTGGAGACAGAGAGGGTACTCTAAGCAGGCCTGGCAGCCAACAGCCTGTTGCACAGTCTATTGCCCCTGCACAGGTCACCCGACTCATCTTCATCAAGTGTGGCTCTCTTGATGACTCCCCCAACTCAAGGGCCATGGATGCCTGAGGCAACTCCTCTACTCAAACCCTGGAATTTCAGTTCCTTCATCTAGAAAAGCTGCAGATTAATAACAGCTAATATTCTAAGTGCTTTACATGGTAGGTGCTCAGAAAATGTTAGCTATTATTATTATCACATGGATTAATTAGTTTAGTCCTTGTAATAGCCCTAAGAAGTACACATTATCTCCATTTTCCAGCTGAGGAACTTGAGGCATAAAGAGGTTAAGTAGCTTGCCAGAGGGTACGCAGCTAGGAAGTGAGCTAGGATCCAAACTCAGGCAGTCCGGCTCCAGAGCTCATACAACTAACCATCACACTACTGTGTTTCTGAGATCCAATATTATACATAAAAATTATCCTTCATATAACCTGATATGGCTTTAGCTCTTGGATGAAAAGCCTACATTTCTTATTACCTTCTCATTAAATATTGAAAACCCTTTCCCACCTGTCTCCATCACTTTAAAGTCCCCAGAAAGCCCAATTTACCAGAATAGCCACTACGGTTGCGGCTGAAGCTGAAATAGGAGTTACAGCCCTCAATGATAGCCAGGGGCTCTGTCAGCACATCCCCTGGAAAAAAAAAAGATGTAAGATTACATCAGAGATAAAACTAGGACCCAGGACACAGAAAGGCTTGGAATTACAGCTGTAGGCTAATTTCTTGCACACATCAGAGCCAGGGTAGAAGAGAATATCAAGTACCTATGATAAGAAGAGAAGCTAAAAAAAGGTGGGGACTAGAGAGGGAATTGTTATCAGAATTACGAGAAAGGGGAAGACTACTGAATGGGAGGTGAAGAATTAGGTGGGAGGAGGCTAGGTGACTAGGTGACTGGAGGAAGTTGGGGGTGGGAAATGGACATATGGGAGAGAGAACTGGGAATCTGAGCTGGGAGTAGGAGGTAGGAGAGGGAATTCAAGGATTTGAACTGAGGATGGAGGGAAAGTAGGTAATGGGTCTTAGAGGGAGGTGGGTGGGAGAGGGAAGGAATCAGGGGATTGAGCTGTGGGGGAGAGGGAATTAGAGGGTCTAAGTTTGGGGTGGGACATGAGGTAGAAATGATGAGAAGCTCTCAGCTGGGGAGGAGAGATGGCGGTAGAGATAAGAGGAACTGGGGATCTGAGATAGAAGTTTAAAAAGGAGGAAACTAGGGAGTCTAAACTGGGGGCAAAGATGGTGTGAGAATTAAAGGATATGAACTGGGGGCAGAAAAGGGAAAGTGGGGGTGTCTGTCTTGGGAGTGGGAGATGGAAAGTGTGTGGCGGGAGGAAATTTGGGGGACTGAGCTGTGTCAGGAGAATGAGTAGGAATTAGAGGATCTGAAAGAAGATGGAGATTGCAAGGGGGAGGGAATTATGGTTCTGCTGAGGCCAGGAGATGATGTCGGAATTAGGAGATCTAGCTGGAGTGCGAAATATAGAGGGGGGATTGGGATTCCAGACGGGCTCTAGGGGGAGGACTCTAAGGATAGAGAAATGGGAAAGTTAAATGATATGGAGCAGAGAGCAAAAGTTAGCGGAAAAGGGAACGTGTGGTAGGGGTCCTGAATTCTTGAGCGCTCACTGGTTACTTTGGTCTCCTGAAGACAGACGATGTCAGCATCCAGCTTGTCCAAAATGCGCCCCATGGCCATGGCGGTACAATTGCTGGGCTCCTCGTTTCCCACCCCTTGCACGGGGCTGCGAATCCCATTGATGTTCCAGCTCACCACGCGCAACATGCTGACAGCTAACTGCAATGCCTTTAAGCCCGCGCCCCACGTAAGTGCGAGCCAAAACCCGAAAATTCCTGTGTCCGCCAGGCCTGGCCTTCCGCGCGCGCATTTGCGCAGGCGTTCTTGTGCGTGCCGCAAAAGGGTCGGACACACATGGGGCGGGGATTCAAGCCCTTCAGTTTTCATTGGCTGGAGAAGCGGAAGCTGAAGGGGGCGGTGTGGTAGCCTAGGGGCGATGAATAGTGAGAGGAAGGCCAGTGGTTGGGCTCCTGCCCCTACCACCCGACACTGGCTTACGTGCCTGAGTCTGACTGCGTTTCTGCTCTGCTGAAAAGTCCCCTTGGTGATTTCGATTACTTACAAACGAGATTTTACCACTTTTTAAGTGGCGGAACCGCGCAGCGACCGAAGCCCCGCCCACAGTGTTCAGACTGCGCCCCTGAGTACGAAGAGGGCTGCGGCACCCAGCGACTAGGGAGTGGCTGGCGTAACCCTGCATGTAAATGTGGGTGGGGGAATGCGCGAAGGGAACTTTGCGGCCGGAGGAGGGAGCAATAAGAAACGCACTCCATTTTGGAAATTAAGATCTTGATGGTCGTCGGTCATCGTTTGCAAATACTTTCTCCCAGTCCTTAGGTCATCTTTTCGTTTTGTTTATGGTTTCCTTTGTTGTGCAAAAGCTTTTAAGTTTGATTAGGTCCCACTTATTTGCTTTATTGCTTTTGCCTTGGGAGACTGATCTAAGACGATATTACCAGGAGTTATGTCTGAGAATTTTTTGCCTATGTTCTTTTTCTAAGAGTTTTTTTTTATGGTGTCACGTCTTATATTTAAGTCTTTAAACCATTTTGAATTTATTTTCATGTATGGTGTGAGTCTTCTAACTTCATTGATTTACATAAGGCTGTCCAACTTTCCCAGCACCACTTGCTGTAGAGACTGTCTTTTCTCCATTGTATGTTCTTGCCTCCTTTGTCCAAGATTAATTGAAAGTAGGTGTGTGGGTTTATATCCAGGCTTTCTATTCTGTTCCATTGATCTATATACTTTTGTGCCAAAAGAATCTTAATTAAAAATGTTTAATTTTTATGTTATGTATATTTTACCATATTTAAAAAACTAATAATAAAAGGAATGAGGAACCATCACCTCTACCTAGTTCCAAAACATCACCCCAAAGGGAAATACATACCCATTACGCATTAAGCAGTTAGTCCCTATGCCCTCCACCACCAGCACCTTTATGGCATCAATTTGCTTTCTGTTCCTGTGGGTTTACCTATTTTTGATATTTCATATAAATGAAATCTTTGCAAAATGTACTAAATACCACTTAATCATAGACTTTAAAATTGTTAATTTTGTGTTCAAATTTACCTCGCTTTTTAAATATATATACACACTACAATATATAAAATAGAGAAACAAGGACCCACTATACAGCATAGGGAACTCTACTCAATACTCTGTAGTAACCTGTATGGGAAAAGAATCTGAAAAAGAATAAACAGTATATGATGTATTTTGCTATACACCTGAAACTAACACAACATTGTATATCAACTATACTCCAATATAAAATATTTTTTAAAAGGGGGGGAATAATGAAATGTTCTATGTGTAGTGATATGGAAAGATCCCAAAACATATTGGGGGGTGGCAGGCTGCAAAATAGTGAGTATTGAACCTTTTCAACAAACCACGGGGAAAATGAGGGAAAAAAAGAAGCACTCTAGTGGAGTAAGATTTAGAAGAGGGCCTCTGGCTTTATTGGGCTGGGGGAGTGAGATGGGGAAGCTGTATCAAGCTCACCCTGTAGTCATTATTTGTCTTGGGCCTTATAGCATCCCTTAGGATGTGGCCTGACAGGTACTTCCTCTTTGCTCTGTTTCTCAGATTATTAAAATCAAGGCCAAGAGAGTTTAAGTGGGCTACCCAAGTTCCAGAGCAGCACTGTCTTCCAATATAACCTATGGCTCTTCCATATGCATTATCTCATTTCATTATCAGGGCAACACTGTAAGGGGCATTGAGGCTAAGAGAGGTTCAGTGAATTCACCCCAGTATCACAGAAGCAGTAGAGCCAGGATTCAACCCCTGTCTTAATCAGCTCAAGGAATATTTTCCTGAGTAAGTTTTTTCTAACCTCCCCAGTTAGATCTTTTCCTCTGGGCCCCCACATCACCCTATGGTCCATTCTGTCACAGCGCTTACAATGTACAGCTACCACTGATTTCTATTTCTGTCACTAGACTGCCAAGAGCTTGAGAGCAATGACCATATCTGATTCATCTTGTTAGCCCCATCCCCTAATATAGCGCACAACACATATTAGGAGTTAATAAATATTTGTTGAATGAATGAACAAATAAAGGGCAATAGCAAGAGCATCAACAGGTTAGTGACTTGTTTTTGATAACATAAAAATAGAAATAATAGACATGCCCAATGTCCAGGGAAAAGCATAACTTCGCATCCTTAGGTTCCTCACCCAGAATTGTGGCATAATTACTTTTCCCCCAGAATTCCATAGCCTTAAAACCATCATTCTCAGTGTCTGCAAAAAAGACCCAAAGAGCTGCTTTTCCTCCTGGAGGACTTAAAGGTTACATTCTAGTTGTTGCCATCAGAAAATAGCCCTGCAATTAAAATTAAGATGTTGGTGCTTTAAGCTTTTCCATGTTTTGGTGGTTATTGGCTTAGGATTGAGTCCCAAGAGTGGAATAATTAGGACAAAGGAAATGAACATTTTTATTGCTCTTGCTTCATATTGCCAAATCACTTTCCAGTAGGGGATCGTGCTGATTTACACTGAAGACCAATCTGAACCAGCCCCAAGGAAATCCAGATCTTGCCTGTTTACATTGCTGGTTTTCATTTCCCCATTCTGCAGTAGCTTGTTAATATTAGTTCTGACCTTTGGGGCAAGGCGAACACATGGTTGGCCTGAAGAGAAAAGGCTCTGGGTGACTCAGGAACTTCTTTGGCAGCTGATATTTCAACAGCGGGCACACACCCCCTCTTACCAAGGGTACTTCCCCAGCCTTCCCAGGGAGCCAACGAGTGCCTCCAGGCTCCCTGCTTGATGCCACTCTCTGTACCTGCTTTGGGGGTCTAAATGCAAGAGAGCCGTGTGTCGTGTATTGGATAACTAGCGATGGAAGAAAAAACCTCTAGGAGAACAGGTAGGTGAAACAGAAGGAAAAATAGATAGGAGTTAACACAAACCCAAATCCATTCTTTAGGCTCTCTGGAAAGTTTTCTTGGAATAGGTGGACACTCAAACTGTTCACTAAAGTGTATGGGAAGTTGGGGATAACATGATTTCTATATTTCATTATCTATCATCCATTCTGACGTGTCTTTGTGGAACACTGGCCCAAAGGGCAGTTCCCTAGCACTTTAGAAGTCTCTTTAACATGGTCTAGTCCAGTTTTGAATGAACTGGGTGATAGAGATTGTATCTCTTACCTCCCAACTGTTGTATAAAGTAGGGCTGGTTTGCTGTGACACTTTGAACAAGTCTTTTAGCTTCTCTGGGCTTCAATAGCCTCCTCACCAAAATGGAAATTGAAGTCCCTCCTATTTCCCTCAGAGGACTGTCACAAGGTGAAGAGGAGTGGGATGACAGGAACTAAAGCTCTTCTGAAATATTTCAGGACTTCCGTGCTCTGTCTTAGTGATCCTACTTTTTCTGTAGCCTCCACAGGCAATACCACACATAACCCTCCAGCTGCTCTTCTCCCTGAGTGACTATGGTCTGTGGAGGGCTACTCCTAGGACTAGGATAGAGCAAACTTTGGGCCCCAGGCATGGGGCTGAAAGTAGTAGGGGGATGGTGGGCCAGGGCAGTGGCCAAGAAGGAAGTGGATCCTAGGCTGCTGCCACAGAAGGCCTGATATTCACATATAGGCACCTGACCTGTAAGCATGCAATCTCCCCTCCTCACCCTAACACAAATGCATTCACACCCACACACTCGAAGAATTACCAATAAGAAGACCCCATTTGTGATTTTGATACCCATCAGTACTGTCTTGATACTGCTTTTAATGAGATTCTCCCATACACTCCATACTTTGGGAGGATGGTCAGGATCTGTGGGCCTCAGGTAGTCATACTTTATGCTTTTCCTCCATAGAGTTAACCCCAAATTAGAATTTGTGACTCAGCTCTTGGTCTTGAGTGAGTCTCTGATACTGAGTGAACAATTTTTTCTGTAACCATTAATTGGAACTTTTTCTGGGGGGGGACTTCATTCTTTTGTTCTTTCTGTTCTGCCCCATTCAGGGTTGAGAAACTTTCTAGATCCTACTACCACCTTCTACCTTCAGACCAAGTTAGTTCCCCCACCCAGTTCCCTGGATAGCTCTCTTTTTATAAAATTTACCTTTGTTGAATGGGGATTATTTGTACACATGTTCATCTCATCTAGGGCAGAGAGATGTAGATTGAGCAAGTCTCCTCTGTGCCAGGGCCTGAGCTGGACACCTGGAAACAGATCACAGATAACTGAGATCCAGTCCCATCCTTAAGGAGCTCACAGTCTAGTAGGAAAGTAGACCGGTAAAAGGTGGATACTTGCACAGATAAACAGAAGCATATAGGCAATGTGGGAACCAAAGCCAAGGCTTCTCAGAGGAGGTGAGCATTGAGCCTGGCCTTGAAGAGTGAGTCAGATTTCACTGAGAAGGGAAGGGAAGAGAAGGCATTCCAGGCTGAGCAAAGGCCCAGAGGCAAAAAGTACACAGTAAGTTTGGGGGCCTAGTGAGTCAGCTGGCACAATTTAACCACAGGGGTCTAAAGAGAGACATGACTGGAGAGACACGTTTGATTGAGAAGAGCCAGGGCTGAGGCCTTCCCATAAAGCTTGTTTAGTTTTCCTACTTCTGGGGATCAGAATTGATAACAGTGGTTAAAACACACACACACGCACACACACACACACACACACACACACACACACACACACACACTCAGTTCCAGGTAGTTTTAAGTTGGGTTTTCAAGCCTGGATCCTAAGTTTACCCTTTCAGACCTTGTCAAAAGCCCACTAAGCTCCTATCTCAGATTTCCTGCTGCTAAATTTATCTTTCTGCCTCTTGGCAGGGTCATGAGGACAAAACTGTAAACATAGAAGAGGGGTTCATGTGACTGGATTGATTACCTCGGACAAGCCACTTCCCCTCCCTAGACCTCAGTTTCCCTGTGAGGCTAGTGAGAATGTTTGGAAGGAGCAACTATGATGAGGAATATGTTTCTTTGTGGGCCATGGAAAACATACATGTAAAGGGTTATTATTCAGATTACTAGCCTTAGCAGAGTGATACCAGTTAGGAGACTTATTACGATTAAGAGAGTTGCATGTCTTCCAAACTCTAGTTCTAAGACTCTAAATGTTCTGAGCTAATCTAGAAGACCACATTCTTAAATCAAGCTTGATTGATCAGTTAACCAAAGAAAAACCCTGGACTGGAGAAATCAGATCCCCAGTGTTCTATTTCTAACTTGGTGACTTAATTTACTATAGGATCTTAGGAAAATACTTCCCTCTCTAGGCTTCCATCTTCTTACCTGAGAGGGTTGGATGCAATGATTTCTAGGGGACTTCTGTATCACAAAACCAAAAAAGTAAAAGTGAATTCATCTTTCTAACTGATTGGCATGAGCTCTTTATTTATTATAAATGTTAACCCTTTGTCATAATTTTGTAAGTTTCCTTTACTGAGTGTTTCCTGAATGCTCAGCATTACACCAGAAGTTGCATATTAGCCAAGGAGGTAACTGACCTTTTACTTCACAAAGGGAATCAGTGTTAGGTAATATATAATGAACATTTTCCAGGTTACTTTATATGTGTTAACACATTGAATCTTCAACAACCCTAAGGGAGTAGGTACTCTTATGAGATGAAAACACCACGGCACTGAAAAATTAAGTCTTCTACCCAGCGTGTCATAGCAAGGGGCAGAGGTGGGATTCCACTCCAGTAGTGTGACTCCAGAGCTCATTGCTTTTAACCACTGTTATCCACTGCCTCAGTAGATTCATTTAGAAGGGCAGGCTTTGAAATGTATTGAAAGTTTGGTATGATTTATACACAACAAATGGAGGGAATCTAACCCTTATGTAGACTAGGATTCTGAGAATATATTTTAGGGAACTTCTTAAAAGGCAAAGTGGAGCTGAGAGCATTGGAGGTCAGGGATTGGAGATTGCTATCCCCATGAGATTGCCCCAGTGTTGCCCAGCTCAGTGGAAGAAATTGAGCTTTCTTGTAGCCAATCACTGGAGGTTCATCAAGGGGTGGGAAGGTTGCAAAAGAATGAAGTAAGAGCACACTTGGACGTCTTCCAGGTAAGCTATGCTGTTAGATGAGTACTACACATAAAAGCTTCAAAACAACCAGGGGGATGGGGGAGGGTAAAGCAGAGACATCTGGGTAGGATGGCTCTGGCCTATGGACTTGTCCTACTTTGAGGCCATTGCTCCCAACTCACCACACTCTGCCTGCTGCAGCCTCCCCCGCTAAGCCTCCATCCCCATGACTTGGCATGAAGAACTTTAGTATGGTTCTGGGTCAGATCACAATGCCTTTCTCCCTAGGGGACCTGATGGCAGTTGGCAGTCATGTGAACAGTGCTTATCATCTCTCCCCCTAGCAATGGCTGCATTCACTTCTCTTCCCAAGGTGTCCGATTTACTCTGATTTATTTAGCTTTGGCTGGAGAGAGCATAAAGATGATCAGATAGTGCCCATCTCTCCAAGAGTGTCCTGGGTAGCACATTTTAGGAGAGAGAGGCCCTTCAGTAGGAAAGGTAGCAGAATTCAGGGAAGACAAGGGTTGCAATGCCATTTGCGGGGGAGGGCATTGAGGCAGTAAACCTTCTACTTCCAGTTCAGACCTAAGATTGCTAGCTCAAAACATTGCGTTTTTCAGTAGGGACTTTGTGCTTGTGTATTTGTACTTGGGAATCTTGCATTTCTGATATGGATCTCTGTTTCTGGGTTGGAATTTGACATTCTACTTGGGCCTGTTTTTTTTTTTTTTTTTTTTTTTAACATCTTTATTGGAGTATAATTGCTTTACAATGGTATGTTAGTTTCAGCTTCACAACAAAATGAATCAGCCATAAAAAGAGACGAAATTGAGCTATTTGTAATGAGGTGGATAGACCTAGAGTCTGTCATACAGAGTGAAGTAAGTCAGAAAGAGAGAGACAAATACCGTATGCTAACACATATATATGGAATTTAAAAAAAAAAATGGGCCTGTTTTTTTATTTTGAAGCTATGAAAGCTGCTGAGATCTGCCTGCATCACCTTTGCCTCCCCACCCCACACAGGATATAAGCACATGATCTTCGGTCTTTTATTTGCATACTCTACTAGTCCTGTCTTCATTGGAGGGAAGTGACTGGCCAGACATGGGCTGTCTTGCTGGCTGTCTTCCTTGCTGGGCTCCAACTTATCTCTTATGTACACAGCCCTTGGAGTTCAGAGGCCTCTGCTGACCTCTGTCCAACCTCTCCTCTGCACCCAAGCCCCCACTGGTACATACAGGAGCAGAGGCAGACAAGTCAGGCAATGACTAGGAGACAGGAGAGGGGCTGGAGACAGGCTGCTAGAGAGCTCAGAACCCCAGCACACCTCCTTGTCCCAACTCTGTCCACCACCTGCTGTGACCACAGCAACAGAAGAGACAGCTAATAAGACAAAGTGAGGCCCGGTACCTTGAGGACAGTGGTGTCATTAGCTGCGACGCCTAGGATGTCTCGAGAGATGGGAGAACTCACCCAAACCAGATTGCAGAAGATCTGGATTCCACACAACGGTGGCAACAGCAGGCTGCAACGCAGGAGGGGCTGTAAGTGGGGTTTGCTTCCGTGGGCTTCAAGGTGGTGGTGGTAGAGTGGATGTAGAAGAGCAAAGGATATTCCCCCCAACCACCCCCACCCCAACCTGAAAGTTGGAATAGATGAGCAGCTGGATGAAATAGCTGTAGGATAGATAACAAGAGGCTAATGTCAAAAAGGTAGAGAAAGAAAGATAGAAAGAGAGAGATGAAGACAGAGAAAGAATGAGGATTATATAAAGACCATCATAATCAGAGGGATTTTTGACTAGGAATTTTTTTCTTTCTTCACCAGAGCTTGTTTGGAATACTTCTTATTGGAAATTTGATGTTTCTAGTTCAATGTTAGCCTAAATGTTTTATTTTGGCGACATCAGTGAAGTGTCTGGAAATTAGTACTGTCTGATAGTGCTTGGGTGAAATAAGGTGATGGTTCCTGGCATTGTTTCTCAGAGGACAGGTGATGGGTACACAACAGTACCGTATCATTGGTCGGTTTTGCTCCTCCCCTTTCTCAGGCCTCTTCTAATAAGCCTCTGACTGGGTTGGGAAAGGCTGGGTGTCCTGTCTCCTGCATTGCCTTCTTGGCACATATGGACACTTTTGCTGCTCTGGGGAGTTGAGGGAGAAGACATTCAGGGAAAGCCTGCTGGTGTAATGTTCACTTTGAAAATTTAAGAAAGAGCAGGTTCAAACGGGAAGCAAACAAAACCTGTAAAATATATTTTTTAAGTAGACTATACCATTTCCAATAGATAACAGTGTACAGTTGTGGATCAAGGTGCTGCCAGCCCAAGAATGTTGGCCTGAGGAGCCATAAGGTGTGCAGAGATAAGACAGCTGTGGAGTGTGGGACCCAGACATCTCAAGGACCAACTGACCAAGCTTCCACTATGCTAATGCTAGAGGAGGTCCAGGCTCAGGGCTAGTGAGGGGAGGATCCAGGAAGATGTAGGATGTTAAATATACTATGTAGAATGGAGGCTGTGGATAGAGGGAGAGGGGTAAAAACCAACCTCCTGTTCTTCTTCCTCCTCCTCTCCACCAGCAGTTTCAATCTCTCATCTGGTGATCTAGGAGCCTGGATGAGACTGAGAATTACACCCCACCCTCACTCACCAAGCCACTCTGTCCTTTCTAAGGGGCTGTTGGGTTTAGCTGGCAAGCAGGCAAGCCACTCTCTGCATACCTGGGTCCTCCATTGTTAGGACCCTTATATTCCTGGGAACTCTGTCTTTCAGATTGGAGAAATAATAGATATAAATCACCTATTACAGTGTTTGTCATATAGAGGGTGCAAAATAAATATGTGCTCACTTTATTTCTGAGCCCGTCTTTCCTCAGCTGGAAGACAGAATTAATACCTACTTCCCCATGTTGTCGAGGTGATTCAGTGATTCAGACTGCCTAGCTTTGAGTCCCAACTCTGCCACCTCCTGCCTCTGTGACCTTGGACAATTCTCTTAACTTACCTGTCCTTCCATTTCCTCACCTGTCAAAAGAAGTTAGTAATAGTGTTGTGAAGATTAGAGAACTAAAGCATATAAAATGCTTAGAAGAATGTCCGGTGCATAGTAAATACTCAATAAATCTTATTATTATTATTATGATTATTTAAACAAGAAGGTGGGTGTGTGGTCTTTTTGCCCATCATATCCCCAGCATCAAGCCCGAAGCCTGGCACATAGCAGATACTCAGTAAATGGTCGCTCTGTGCTACTTCCACTCTACCACTCACCATAGCCAAGCATGGGGCTCTGTGTATACAAGACAGTAACTCATTAGTGATTGACTGAATTATGTCAGACCGCAGATATAATAAACTTAGCTAGTGCCCTGGGCAATGTCTGCCTCACCTCCCTTGCTGAGGAGGCCAGGTTATTTACCCCAGAAAGATCTGAATTACCTCCTGCTCGGAGCATTCTCTCTAGAAGACCTGCCCACCCCCACAGTGGGCAGTGGGGGAGGGGATGCACACAATCACTTAATGACGGTTTTGAGGATTAAATGCATTAACGTGTGTAAAGTGCTTGAACAGCTGTGTATATTCATCTGTGACTTGGTTTTTCGCATTCAGTGTTATGTTTTTTTGTGCCATGTATAATATTGTTGCATGCAGTTGGTTTATTCTCCTTGCTGTGTAATATTACATTTTGTGAATATCCCATGATTTACTTATCCATCTTACTATTGATGTACCTTTAGGTAGTTTCGTTTTGGGTTATGAACAATTATGCAATGAGGATTTTTGTCCCCATAAATTTTGGAATCACTTTTTCAAGTTACACACACACACACACACACACACACACACACACACACACACACACCTTTTGGGATTTTGATTGGAATTACAGTCAATCTGTATATCAATTTAAGGAGAATTAACATTTTGTGATATCGAGTCTTCTGTAAACATGGTGTGCCTCTCTATTTAGACTTTTTCGATGTTATTTGAGTGAAGTTTTATAAGTTAAAAGGGCTTATACATCAGTATAAGACTTTTTTTGCTTATTTTTGTTGCTATTGTATACCTGTTTAGAAAATTACATTTTATACTAATTTATTGCTAATGAGTACAAACATAATTGTGGTTTTTTGTATATTGCATTTGCAACTAGCAAACCTGATAAACTTTCTTATTAATTTTGATAATTTATATGTAAATGACAGTTTTCTTTTTTCCCTTCCAATCCTTATTTTTTAAAATCTCTTTTCTTATATTACTGCACTGCTAGGACCTCCTACCTTTGATACATGCGCACCAACGTCGAATAGAAATGTTAGTATTGTGCATGTTTATGTTGAACCTAATTTTAAAGGTAATGCTTTTAAAGTTTCACCATTGAGTAAATTTGCTATAATTTTTTTGTAGATACCATTAACAGGTTAAGAAAGTTCCAGTTTGTTCTTAGTTTGCCAATAGGACTTTTTTTTACTCCTATCTACTTTATTTACTATTATTATTAGCCAATAATAATTATTTAACAAAAGATTTACCTTCTTAGCAATTTTTAATGTGTACAATATTATTAACTGTAGGCACTATGCTGTACAGTAGATTTCTAAGATCTATTTTTCTTGCAAAAACAAAACTTTGTACCATTTGACTAATACCTTCTCATTTCCCCTGCCCCATCCTAGCCCTTAGCAACCACCATTCTATTTTTTGCTTTTATGAGTTTGACATTTTTAGATCCTAAACATGTGTGGTATCAAGCAGTATTTTTCATTCTGTTCTTGGTTTACATCACTTAGTATAATATTCTCCAGTTTCATCCATGGTGTTGCAAATGGCAGGATTTCTTTCTTTTTAAAGCCTGAATAATATTCCATTACATATATGCATGTATATGTACATTTCCTTTATCCATTCATTCACCAGTGGGCACTTAGGTTACTTCCATATCTTGACCATTGTGAATAATGCTGCTGTGAATATGAGAGTGTAGGTATCTCTCTGAGATACTGATTTCAATTTCTTTGGATATATACCCAGAAAGGAGATTGCTGGATCACATAGTAGTTCTCTTTTTAACATTTGGAGGATTCACCATACTGCTTTCCATAGCAACACCGATTAACATTCCCACCAACAATGTATGAGGTTTCCCTTTATTTCCACATCCTTGTCAACAGTTGTATTTCATTTTTTTAGGATAGCCATCCTAACTAGTGTAAGATGATATCTCACTGTGGTTTTGATTTGCATTTCCTTGATAATTGATGATGTTGAACATCTTTTCATATACCTGTTGTCCATCTGTATGTCTTCCTTATAGAAATATCTATTCAGGCTCTTGCCCATTTTTAAAGTAGGTATTTGGTTTTTTGGCTGTTGGGTTGTAGTATTTCCCTATATATTTTGGATATTAACTCTTTATCAGATATAAGGTTTGCAAACATTTTCTACCATTCCACAGGTTGGCTTTCATTTTGTTGTTTCCTCTGCTATACAGAAGTTTTTAATTTTATGTAGTCCTACTTATATATTAGGATATTTTAAAGATGAGTAAATGTTGAATTTTATAAACATGCCTTCTGTATCCACTGAGATGACAGGTTGATTTTCTATTTTAATCTGTTAATGTGAATTACATTAGAGGTTTTTCTTGTTTGGAACTTATCTTGCAGTCCTAGGATAAATAAAAACTGCTGGATTTAGTTCATTAATATTTTGTTCAGGAATTTGGCATTTTGTTTATGAATGAGAGTGACCTGTACATTTTCCATTCTCATAGTTCCAGGTCCCTGTTTGACTTTTGTGTCATAAAATGAAGTGGGAACTATTTCCTTTCATTCTATTTTCTCACAGAGTTTGTCCAAGGAACTATTCGTTCTTTAAATATTTAGCACAACTTCCAGGTAAAAATATCCGGGCTTGGTGTCTTCTTTGTAAGAAAAATTTTAATGGATACAGCCTTTTAAATAGCTATAGAATCATTCCAGTTTGCTATTTCTTCTTGTCAGTGTTGTTAAATTACGGTTTTCTAGGAATTTTTCTATTTCATGTCATTTTTCAAATTTATTTGCATAAACTTCTTATCTCCATATTTTTAAAAATCTCTGTTGCATTTATATCCTCTTAACCTTGTTTATTTGTACCTTCTCTTTCTTCCTCTTGATCAATCTTGCCAAAAGTTTGTCACTTTTATAAGTTTTTTAAAATAGTCAACTTTTGGCTTTCTGATTCTTTCTGTGATGTCCTTTACTTTTTATTTAGCTATTTTCCTTATCATTATTCTTTTCTTTTCACTTTACTTGGATTTATTCTGTTGTTCTTTTTTTAATTTCTCGAGTTGGATGCACAGCTTATTAATTTTCAGACTTTCTTCCTTTTGAATATAAGCATCTGATTGTATAATTGGCCTACTAAACAGGGCTGATATTCCACAGATGCACAATTGTATGGACATATGAATTTTAAAACTATTTCCAGACCATTTGGTAAATACGCACTGCTCCAGGCTTTCTTAGTTTCTCCATCACTTACCCAGTAGCCCTGGCCACCT